GAGTGCTACATTCATCAGCTGCTATGTATTCAGCTTCTGCTGTTGACAATGCTATTATGGACTGTCTTTTGCTGGTCCATGAGATCAGATTGTCTCCCAAAAATTGGAAGCTTCCAGAAGTACTTTTACACTTTACTCTGTCTCCAGCAAAGTCAGCATCACAGTATCCTACTAAGCTGTATTTATTGGATTTTCTATAAAACAAACCCAGATTAGTAGTACCTTTCAGATACTTGAAAATTCGTGTAACTGCTGTTAAGTGAGATTCTCTAGGATCTGATTGGAATCTAGCACATAAGCAAACACTGAATAAAATATCAGGCCTTGAAGCCGTCAGATAAAGGAGAGAGCCAATCATACCTCTGTAGATTTTCTGTTCTACCTTTTTACTTACCTCTTCCTTTTCCAGAATGCACGTGGGATGCATTGGAGTCTTTGAGGGTTTACATTCTGAGAGGTCAAATTTCTTCAGAAGTTCTCTGACATATTTGCTCTGATGAATGTAAGTTCCTTCTGCAGTTTGGTTTATCTAAATGCCCATAAAGAATTTGAGTTCCCCCATTAAGCTCATCTCAAACTCTGCCTGCATGCACTTAGCAAATTCTCTTCCCAGAGAAGGTTTAGTGGATCCAAAAATGATATCATCTACATAAATCTAACAAACTAAAATGTCATTCTTAAATGTCTTACAGAACAAGGTTGTGTCCACTTTCCCTCTGGTGAATTCCTTTTCTAACAGGAAGTTACTTAGTCTTTCATACCAAGCTCTGGGAGCTTGTTTCAGACCATATAGTGACTTCTTTAGTTTGAAAATATATTCTGGGTGTTTGGAATTCTCAAACCCAAGGGGTTGGTGCACATATACCTCTTCATCTATGTAGCCATTTAGGAATGCACTTTTGGCATCCATCTGATACAGAGTGATGCCATTGTTTACAGCAAATGAGATTAAGAGTCTGATAGATTCTAACCTGGAGACTGGAGAAAAGGTTTTTGTATAGTCTATCCCCTCTTGCTGACTATAACCTTGTGCCACCAATTGTGTTTTGTTTCTGATGACTTCTCCTTGCTCATTCAGTTTGTTTTTAAACACCCACTTTGTTCCAATGACGTTGAATCCTTTTGGTATGGGAACCAGATCCCATACGTCATTTCTGGTGAACTGATTTAATTCCTCTTGCATTGCCAGAATCCAGTCATTGTCTAGAAGAGCTTCATCAATTGTTGTTGGTTCAATCAGAGAGACCAGTCCCATGAGGGATTCTTCAGAGTTTCTGAATGTTGATCTTGTTCTGATTGGATCATCCTTCTTTCCCAGGATCTTATCTTCTGGGTGAGCTATGCTGCTTCTGGATAACCTTTTCTGGAGTTTATCAACAGAAGGTACTGGATCACTTGTAGCATTTCTTTCTGAAGTTTTTGGAGCGTCTCTGTTGAGAACTTCTGATGAATTGTCTCCAGTACCTGTGAATTCAACTTCTATATCTGCAAAGAATTCATTCTGCTTTGACTTTTGAGGGTCAAGCTTATCATCAAATCTAACACTGATTGACTCTTCAACAATCTGTGTTTATGTATTGTATACTCTGTACCCTCTTGAGCGTTCAGAGTATCCTAACATAATACACTTTTGTGCTTTAGAGTCAAACTTGTTCAGATAATCTTTGGTATTCAGAATGAAACAGGTGCATCCAAAAGGATGGAAATAAGAAATGTTGGGCTTTCTGTTCTTCCATAATTCATATGGATTCTTTTCCAGAATAGGTCTTATAGAGATTCTATTCTGAATGTAACACGTTGTGTTAATTGCTTATGCCCAGAAGATCTTAGCAATGTTAGTAAATTGAAATATTCCCAATAAGAATGATACTTCTTAGAAGGAAATACTAGTTCTTATGTCACTTGCAAAATACTTAGTTGGTTTCAACACTTTCTAAATCAAAAAAGGGGCCAGTGGACTAAATAAAGGGACAGAAGAAGGCGAATCAGTATGTTAATCCGAATGAAGAAAAAATTGTAGGAGTAAAATCTAAATAGAATGAAAGAAAAAAAGAAGCAAGAGCAGCAACGAAAGTCCATGGAAAAAACAAGATGTATTTTTTTTATTAAACAAAAGGGTTTGCAAATAAAATAGCTAATGCTACAACCAGCCCATAAATAGTTAAAGCTTCCATAAAAGCCAAACTAAGTAATAAAGTACGCCGTATTTTATCCTCTGCTTCCGGTTGTCTCGTAATCCCTTCTACAGCTTGCCCTGCAGCTGTGCCTTGACAAACTCCAGGTCCAATAGAAGCAAGCCCAACGGTCAACCCAGCAGTGATAACAGAAGCAACAACAATCAGTGGATTCATGATAAGTTTCTCCCATTCCAAATAAAATAAAAAAATAGTTAATAATATAATTAACAAAAAATTTATGACTTAATTATTTCATTCTTCATATTTCTCTTTATCTAGTCGAAGTGTAATTCAAAATTTCAAACTTAATAATTTTTATTGAATTATCCCAATAACTTTGATATTAATTTTTTTCGTTTCCACCCTTGTAGCTTTTTGTGAATACATACAATTTTTGGTCTTATCTTACATTTTAAACTTTTTTTCTTTGATTTCATTTTTTTCTTCATTTTATATTCAATTCAGAATTACAAGAGATGAAATCTTTTTTTTAATCCCTACCTAAATTTAGAGTAGTAGCAGGACAAATTAAGATATATTATCATATATAACTAATGAATATGTACTATGACATATACATGTGTTTGTTCTATACCGTAAACCAATGAGTTGTATCTTAGATACAATCAATCATTCTTGGAAATCCCCCCGCTGTCTTATAATGATTAGATTATATATACCTCTAATTTGAACCCTTCAACCTTTTTAATTTATTTAATCTCTATTTTTTTACAATTCCCTGGTAATTGTTTTAATTTTCTTTCTACTTTTTTATTATTATTAAACCTTTTTAAACATTCTTTGTATTTTTTTATTAATATTCCTTAAGTATATTATCGCGAGCCACACATACTTTGTTGTGGGCTAAAACACGATTTTGATAACTAGTCAATGATGCCCTTCCATGGATTCATCTAGATACACCACAACTAAAGTAGCAAAAATAAGAGCTTGAATACCGCTTGTAAATAATCCAAGGAATATAACAGGTATAGGAACTACTAAAGATACTAATGAAGCGATAAGGGTTTTGTGAAATCTTCTAAGATGTTAATCGGTAAAAGGATTGGCGTTGGTTGGATGTATTTACCAAAATAGGCCAATCCCTTTTTTGAAATACCCACATAGAAATAGGCTACTGGCGTAAGTAAAGCTAATGCAACAGTAGTATTTATATCATTTGTGGGTGCAGCTAACTCTCCATGAGGTAACTTTATAATTTTCCAAGGCAAAATGACCCATGACCAATGCGAAACAAAAATAAATAGAAACAGAGTTCCAATAAACGAAACCCATGGACCATATTCTTCTTCAATCTGAGTTTTTCTCACATCTCGAATGAATTCAAGGACATATTCAAAAAAAAATTTTGACCAGACGTAGGAATAGTTTGCGGATTTCTAATAACTAGAATGGTTTAAATTAATAAGATAGCAATTACAACCCAAGAGGTAATAAGTACTTGAGCATGCACTTGAAAATCCCCTATTTGCCAATAAAAATGTTGACCTACTTCCACAACAGATAGATCATAGAATATGTTTAATATGTTGATGTAACATAATAGAACATTCATATTGCCCTTTCCTCTAAAATAAAAAAATATACCTTGAAAGGGAATTATTTTGATTTAACAATTTCCTTATTTTACTTTGATTTTATATTTTGAATATCTACTAATCATAAACTATTTCTTTTTACACAATTTTGTAATGCTGTAATAACCAATTCCAAAAATCTATGACTGTACGCCCAACCAAATCTAAAAATTGATTTAATTTCCCCATATTTATTATTGAATGAGCCTATCCTCTTTTCTCTATTTATAAAAATCTTGAAAATTATTATCAACACAAGACCCAAATATTTGGAGGACTCTTTTGACCAAACAAATAATTGTCAGCAAAGTTGTTTTTTTCTTGAAATCCAAAGAATTCTGATTAATTTATACGTAGGTCATCAATTTCACATTGTAGAAAAGTAGAAACGGAGGTGTTAAACACAACACCTTTTTCCTATTTTTCATCCATCATAAAGAGAATTCAAGTCAGTTTATCGACATGAGTGTTCTATATCGAAAAAAATTCTAATTTCCCTATTAACATAGTGGTAGAAAGAATACTAGACTATGTCGAAACTTCAAACTGATTAGCTTTAACCATGGTAATATTCCAAAATTATTGGTTGATAGAGAATCAAAGTAGATTTACCAATGAATCGTGAAATGCTATGGTTCTTAACTATTTTTTTCGTTAGTTTGTAAGAAGTCAATCGCCGCATCATGCACATTTTCCTAGTTATAACAAAAAAAGTGCAGTTGGTTGTATCCAATCTATTCTTTGAAATAAACAACTCGCACACACTCCTTTTCCAAAAAAAAAATCAATACACCTAGCACTGCACTTAGATTTATTAAATTTGTTGCTAAAATATCGGTATCAAACCCGAAACATTCGGCGGATGGCCAATAAATGAAGCAAAGAAAAGAATTGGTTATACTTTTCATATGATCGCATCTCCTCTTATGGATAGACAAAATTTCTTTCTACGATTTCAAGTTTTTTTTATTTGTTTATGATAGTTTATTCTATAATCTAATTTTTTAATTATTTAATATGAATATATGAAATTAGTATATTTGTATTCTTAATAATAATAAATATTAGTAAGAATAAAAATATACTAAGAAGACCTATATTTTGAATTGGTTAGTCAATTGAAAGATTTCCAATAAGAATGATACTTCTTAAAAGGAAATACTAGTTCTTATGTCACTTGCAAAATACTTAGTTGGTTTCAACACTTTCTAAATCAAAAAAGGGGTCAGTGGACTAAATAAAGGGACGGAAGAAGGCGAATCAGTATGTTAATCTGAATGAAGAAAAAATTGTAGGAGTAAAATCTAAATAGAATGAAAAAAAAAGAAGCAAGAGCAGTAACGAAAGTCCATGGAAAAAACAAGATGTATTTTTTTATTAAACAAAATGATTGGAAAATAAAAGAGCTAATGCTACAACCAACCCATAAATAGTTAAAGCTTCCATAAAATCCAGACTAAGTAATAAAGTACCCTGTATTTTGTCCTCCACTTACGGTTGTCTCGCAATCCCTTCTACAGCTTGCCCTACAGCTGTGCCTTGACCAACCCCAGGTCCAATAGAAGCAAGCCTGACTGCCAACCCAACAGTGATAACAGAAGCAACAACAATCATTGGATTCATGATAAGTTTCTCCTATTCCAAATAAAAACAAATAGTTAATAATATAATTAACAAAAAATTTATGACTTAGTTATTTCATTCTTCATATTTCTCTTTATCTAGTCGAAGTGTAATTCAAATTTTCAAACTTAATATTTTTTATTGAATTATCCCAATTACTTCGATATTAACTTTTTTCGCTTCTACCCTTGTAGTTTTTTGTGAATACATACAATTTTTGATCTTATCTTACAATTTAAACTTTTTTCTTTGATTTCATTTTTTTTTGTCATTTTATATTCAATTCAGAATTACAAGAGATGGAATCATTTTTTAATTCCTACCTAAATTTAGAGTAGTAGCAGGACAAATTTAGATTGATCCTCATATATAACTAATGAATATCTACTATGACATATACATGTGTTTATTTCATACCGTAAATCAATGAGTTGTATCTTAGATTCAATCAATCATTCTTGGAAATCCTCCCGTTGTCTTATAATGATTAGATTATATATACACCTAGTTTGACACCTTCAAAAATTTTTAATTTATTTAATCTCTATTTTTTTTACAATTCCCTGGTAATTGTTTTAATTTTCTTTCTACTTTTTTATTGTTATTAAACCTTTTTAAACTTTCTTTGTATTCTTTTTATTAATATTCCTTAAGTATATTATCGCGAGCCACACATACTTTGTTGCGGGCTAAAACACGATTTTGATAACTATTCAATGATGCCCTTCCATGGATTCACCTATATACGCCGCAACTAAAGTAGCGAAAATAAGAGCTTGAATACCGCTTGTAAATAATCCAAGGAACATAACAGGTATAGGAACTACTAAAGGCACTAACGAAATAAGAACAATAACTACTAATTCATCAGCTAATATATTTCTGAAAAGACGAAAACTAAGCGATAAGGGTTTTGTGATATCTTCTACGATGTTAATCGGTAAAAGGATTGGCGTTGGTTGGATGTATTTTCCAAAATAGGCCAATCCCTTTTTTGAAATACCCGCATAGAAATAGGCTACTGACGTAATTAAAGCTAATGCAACAGTAGTATTTATATCATTTATGGGTGCAACTAACTCTCCATGAAGTAACTTTATAATTTTCCAAGGAAAAATGGCCCATGACCAATTCGAAACAAAAATAAATAGAAACAGAGTTCCAATAAATGAAACCCATGGACCATATTCTTCTCCAATCTGAGTTTTGCTCACATCTCGAATGAATTCAAGGACATATTCAAAAAAATTCTGAGCAGACGTAGGAATAGTTTGCGGATTTCTAACAACTAGAATTGTTGAAATTAATAAGATAGTAGTTACAACCCAAGAGGTAATAAGTACTTGAGCATGCACTTGAAAATCCCATATTTGCCAATAGAAATGTTGACCTACTTCCACGGTAGATATATCATAGAATCTGTTTAATGTGTTGATGTAACATAATAGAACATTCATATTGCCCTGTCCTCTAAAATAAAAAAATATACCTTGAAAGGGAATTATTTTGATTCAACGATTTCCTTATTTTTACTTTGATTTTCTATTTTGAATACCTACTAATCACAAAATATTTCTTTTTACACAATTTTATAAATGCTATAATAATCAATTCCAAAAATCTATGACCGTACGCCCAACCAAATCTAAAACTTGATATAATTTCCACATGTTTATTATGGAATGAGCCTATCCTCTTTTCTCTATTTCTAAAAATCTTGAAAATGGTTATCAACACAAGACCCAAATATTTGGAGGACTCTTTTGACCAAACAAATAGTTGTCAGCAAAGTTGTTTTTTTTCTTCTTCTTGAAATCCAAAGAATTCCCATTAATTTATATGTAGGTCATCAATTCCGCATTGTAGAAAAGTAGAAACGGAGGCGTTAAACACAACACATTTTTCCTATTTTTCATCCATCATAAAGAGAAATCAAGTCAGTTTATTGACATGAGTGTTCTATATTGAAAAAAAATTCTAATTTCCCTATTAACATAATGGTAGAAAGAATACTAGATTGTGTTGAAACATCAAACTGGTTAGCTTTAACCATGGTAATGTTCCAAAATTATTGGTTGATAGAGAATCAAAGTAGATTTACCAATGAATCATTAAATTCTATGGTTCTTAACTATTTTTCGTTAGTTTGTAAGAAGTCATTCGCCGGATCATGCACAATTTCCTAGTTATAACAAAAAAAAGTGCAGTTGGTTTTATCCAATCTATTATTTGAAATAAACAACTCGCACACAATCCCTTTCCAAAAAAAAAATATCAATACACCTAGCACTGCACTTAGATTTATTAAATTTGTTGCTAAAATATCAATATCAAACCCGAAACTTCGGCGGATGGCCAGTAAATGAAGCAAAGAAAAGAATTGGTTATACTTTTCATATTATCGCATCTCCTCTTATGGATAGACAAAATTTCTTTCTACGATTCCAATTTTATTTTATTTGTTTATGATAGTTTATTCTATAATTTAATTTTTTAATTATTTAATATAAATATATCAAATTAGTATATTTTTATTCTTAATAATAATAAATATTAGTAAGAATAAAAATATACTAAGAAGACCTATATTTTGAATTGGTTAGTCAATTGAAAGATTCCCAATAAGAATGATACTTCTTAGAAGGAAATACTAGTTCTTATGTCACTTGCAAAATACTTAGTTGGTTTTAATATTTTCTAAATCGAAAAAGGGGTCAGTGGACTAAATAAAGGGACAGAAGAAGGCGAATCAGTATGTTAATCCGAATGAAGAAAAAATTATAGGAGTAAAATCTAAATAGAATGAAAAAAAGAAGAAGCAAGAGCAGCAATGAAAGTCAATGGAAAAAACAAGATGTATTTTTTACTAAACAAAATGATTGGCAAATAAAAGAGCTAATGCTACAACCAGTCTGTAAATAGTTAAAGCTTCCATAAAAGCCAGACTAAGTAATAAAGTACCATGTATTTTGTCCTCTGCTTTCGGTTGTCTCGTAATCCCTTCTATAACTTGCTCTACAGTTGTGCCTTGACCAACTCCAGGTCCAATAGAAGCAAGCCCGACGGCCAACCCTGCAGCGATAACAAAAGCAACAGTAATCAGTGGATTCATGATAAGTTTCTCCTATTCCAAATAAAAAAAAATAGTTAATAATATAATCAACAAAAAATTTATGACTTAATTATTTCATTCTTCATATTTCTCTTTATCGAGTCGAAGTGTAATTCAAAATTTCAAACTTAATAATTTTTATTGAATTATCCCAATTACTTCGATATTAATTTTTTTCGTTTCTACCCTTGTAGTTTTTTGTGAATACATACAATTTTTGGTCTTATCTTACATTTTAAACTTTTTTTCTTTGATTTCATTTTTGTTGTCATTGTATATTCAATTCAGAATTACAAGAGATGAAATTTTTTTTTTAATCCCTACCTAAATTTAGAGTAGTAGCAGGACAAATTTAGATAGATCGTCATATATAACTAATGAATATCTACTATGACATATACATGTGTTTCTTCCATACTGTAAACCAATGAGTTGTATATTAGATTCAATCAATCATTCTTGGAAATCCCCCAGTTGTCTTATAATTATTAGATTATATATACACCTAGTTTGACCCCTTCAACCTTTTTAATTTATTTAATCTCTATTTTTTTTACAATTCCCTGGTAATTGTTTTAATTTTATTTCTACTTTTTTATTGTTATTAAACCTTTTTAAAATTTCTTTGTATTTTTTTATTAATATTCCTTAAGTATATTATCGCGAGCCATACATACTTTGTTGCCGGCTAAAACACGATTTTGATAACTAGTCAATGATGCCCTTTCATGGATTCACCTATATATGCTGCAACTAAAGTAGCGAAAATAAGAGCTTGAATACCGCTTGTAAATAATCCAAGGAACATAACAGGTATATGAACTACTAAAGGTACTAACGAAACAAGAACAACAACTACTAATTCATCCGCTAATATATTTCCGAAATGTTGAAAACTAAGCGATAAGGGTTTTGTGAAATCTTCTAAGATGTTAATCGGTAAAAGGATTGGCATTGGTTGGATGTATTTACCAAAATAGGTCAATCCCTTTTTTGAAATACCCTCATAGAAATAGGCTACTGACGTAAGTAAAGCTAATGCAACGGTAGTATTTATATCATTTGTGGGTGCAGCTAACTCTCCATGAGGTAACTTTATAATTTTCCAAGGAAAAATGGCCCATGACCATTTCGAAACAAAAATAAATAGAAACAGAGTTCCAATAAACGAAACCCATGGACCATATTCTTCTCCAATCTTAGTTTTGCTCACGCCTCGAATGAATTCAAGGACATATTCATAAAAATTCTGACCAGACATAGGAATAGTTTGCAGATTTCTAACAACTAGAATGGTTGAAATTAATAAGATAGCAATTACAACCCAAGAGGTAATAAGTACTTGAGCATGCACTTGAAAATCCCCTATTTTCCAATAGAAATGTTGACCTACTTCCACAGCAGATATATCATAAAGTCGGTTTAATGTGCTGAGCAACATAATAGAACATTCATATTGCCTTGTCCTCTAAAATAAAAAAAATATACCTTGAAAGGGAATTATTTTGATTCAACGATTTCCTTATTTTACTTTGATTTTCTATTTCTAATACCTACTAATCACAAAATATTTCTTTTTACACAATTTTGTAATGCTATAATAACCAATTCCAAAAATCTATGACCGCACGGCAAACCAAATCTAAAAATTGATATAATTTCCCTATATTTATTATGGAATGAGCCTATCCTCTTTTCTCTATTTCTAAAAATCTTGAAAATGATTATCAACACAAGACCCAAATATTTGGAGGACTCTTTTGACCAAACAAATAATTGTCAGCAAAGTTGTTTTTTTTCTCTTGAAATCCAAAGAATTCTGATTAATTTATACGTAGGTCATCAATTCCGCATTGTAGAAAAGTAGAAACGGATGCATTAAACACAA